TATTTTTATATTACCTTAGCCTATTGCTTTAAACTGTACCATTCTAAGACTGAAACGGCGCTGTGACTGCTGGCTCCGCCCACTTCAGCTTCCCAACATGGCGGTGGTACGTTTTCCGCCAGCTCTGGGAATCATCAAGTCTCAGAAATAGTAGGTCTACACTTTTATCAAAGCAGCGTGTAGCCCAGAAACCTCTTTTTTTTTTTTTTTAATACTAGTAAAGACTAAATGTACCACACAGCTTAGTGTGCCGCTGGCAGACGCCTCATTTCTGCCATAATACACACATCTTATATCATAATTTTTTTCTATTCTAATTTGTGTATTTTCCATTTCAGAAACTGTGGTTGCTTTTTATATCTGTCAGAATTTAATTGGCTTTGACATGGCTTTGTCTTTCCATTAGCCTTGACTGACCATCAAGTGATCTTTCTACATACCTAATGTGTTATTGTATTCTGTCTATAGAGTAGTGTTCATCATAATTAATGTAATATCTTGTTTTATGTCCTTAGTTTCTAAGTTTGAAATCTTTCTTTGCATAAACCACATTGTTCAGTCATTGTATCTGTCCTCTCTTTGAAGAACTTCTAGAAAGTTTCTTTTTCTATTGGTTCTTTTTGACATGCATGTCATATCTCATATCCTAGTACCAGTGTCTTGGTATATTTTCATTTGTGTTTCACTTTCTTTAATCATGCATGTGTAACATTGACAATTTCTTCCTTGAATCTAGTTTGATTGGTGAAATGTCCATCTAGCACCGGGCTTGGACTTAATCATTTTGGAAGAGGTAAGAGAATCAAATATGTCAGGAGATTCTTTGGTGGCATGTCTTCTACACAGAAGTTGTCCCTCTTCTCCAATGGCATCCACTATCACTGCCTGGGGGACCCAACATAGGGCTCAAAGGGAAATCCACAGAGTCGGCGCATGCTAGACTTTTATCTGAGGGGGTCAGGGAAAAAGACACTCACACAGGCTATTGATGCTTTCCTTCTTTATTCTCTATCCTTCCCTGTTCATCCTGTGCTCTTTCTACTGTATATTTTCTCTCTACAGTTTATATACCCCAGTGAAGTTTTTCAAACAATATAGGAATTACAATGTGGTTATATACTGATTTTTTCAAGTGAATGATTACAATGAATACAAAACAAATAGGAAAAAAAAAAGCATGTTTTCCATATCCCTTACATGATTAAACATTTTACGTATTACAGGTAAAAAGCAAATTATCGCAAGAACCCACATACATCCATGCCAAGCAATTGGTTATAGATTAACAGTGTAGGCAAGCAAGGTATTCTTCTTAGCCAAGTTTTTACTGGCAAGCTTCAGCTTTGCAGTTCCAAAAAAAGGGCCAATTACTTTATTACTTATCGTGAAAGGTAATCTTATAAGGAATCATTTTTAAAAACCTCATAGGTCCTAACTGTGTGACATTTCCTTGTATTTATTTTTATTAATCAAAACTCTGTATAAACCAACATTATTATTATCAATTAGACAGGACAGCTTAGGAAGGAATCATCTTCATAATGATCCACCAGTAAAACTGCCCAGTAGAGCAGGATGCTTCCATGAGAAAAACAACGATATTACAGGCAGCGGGGATCTCCCCTCACCATCCACACCATGCCAGATCCCAGAGAAAGATGGCAGCAGCAAACATGTAAAGACACAGCAGAAGCAAAAAACATTCCGGGAGTCTGTGGTCTTGGGGCCTTGCCTAACTGAATTCACACATCAAGGAGTTTCCTCCTAGTGGGCTGACACCTTGAACTTCAATTGCCACCTGCTGCTCCTCTGACACAGCCACCACCAGCAATTCACATTAAGACGGCCACTTTCTTTTCCTGCCCTTAGTCCCCTGCTGTAGTTGTTACCTTAAGGAAAGCCACTGCACAAACTGCATTCCGTGTGCCGTCTATATTTAGGAAGTAACCAGGGATGTCAAACATGGTTCATCACGCCTTGCTGTTCCTATGGCAACTAATGATGTGTATTGTTGCTTCTGGGCCCTGTACTTCTGGAAGTCCCAGGCTTAGAACCTATCATGGTGCCGCCATCTCTCAACACCATACTTTCTGTAGGCTTCCCCGTGTAGCTCAGATGTTCTCTTCTGTGCAGTCGGCTCTCTGTGTTTGTGATGTTCTGTGACTCCTCATAATCTATGGTACAAATAACTACCCTTTATCTTTCAAGAAAAGTAGTATTATACTTGGCATTTTATATTTAGTTGGGGATTGTGGTCTATGATGTGTAGGGCTGAACATTTATGGGAGCTTGTTTTCTTCATCCACCTTCCAAGTTACGAGGATCAAATTCAGGTTTTCAAGCTTGGAGTCAAGTACTCTGCTCTCTCTAAGACATCCTCCCAGCCCATGTTATATTCCATTTTTAAACTTCCCTTTCTGAGTTTGTACCAGGAAGAAGAGACTTTCTAATACTTTTGAATTAAAGCCAACAACTTTCTTTGAACTGACACATATAAAAAAAAAGTGCTTTCTAAGAAATCTCAAACGATCTAACTCTATTCACCAGCCTTATCTAAGTCTTGTCTATATTGGTGATCAGGCTGAAGAGAGGGTCTATCCTTACATAGAGACTCTGCTAGCCTGCGTGTGAAGCTAATCATATTTTCACTCATGTCCTTTCCTTTCAAGTACTCTCAAGGAACTCTCAAAATTTTACCTTGAGTTTTACCCAACTTCATCGGTATACCGTTGAAATATATTTAGTCACAGAATACCCAGGTATGATCTGCTTACCATGTATAGCTAGTGTTGAGCCCCATAGCCAAAACTGACTTATTTATAATGAATCTACAGTTACTCAATCTAAATTCCAACTCAAAACTTAGTCTTCAAACAAACACAAAATCTGACGGTTGCTTATAGCAATATTTCCGTTACTTCACTGTAATGCCCGTAATTGTCTCCAAGGGTTTGTCCCAGTCCATCCTCTGTGTGTTATTGTCTCACCCTTCTTCCCCAGTCCTGGGAAAGCAGCAGTCAGGAGGCTGTCACGCATAGACCACCACGCTTGCTGCTCCCTTACCCATGGATTCAATGTAAATACCGAGTACGAGCCAAACAGGTGCTGGAGACATCTAAATTCCACTTGTTCTCGCTGAGTGTGAGATGCTTAACGCTTACGTAAATGGTACCATGACAACTGTGTACTGTATTGCACAATTCTCCTGATCCTATAAGCAACTGTTTAGACGCCTATTTTAATGGATTCTGATTGGAATCTTATAGTTACTTATCCTTGTCTGGCTTTCTACTTGGTCCCTGTACTGAGTGTATACAGGAAAGACTACAGAGCATCCTACATTTTATTATCTTTATTTATCTGGCTCGCCATTTAACCTGTATTTCAAGGAAATGAGAAAACATTCATCCTGGGTCACTGAGACAATTCAACACTTGTCTAAGTGTTATGAACATTGATTGTATGTCAGTTCATATAATTGGGGCAAAATAGACATAGATAGTTGTAATCATTGTCTGTGTTTATATATTGAAAATGAATTTTATCTGTAGTTATCCCACTCCAGTAAATCCACTAGCAAAAGCAGCAATATTTGATTCAGATTGTTTTCCTTGCCTTAGGGGACCATGGACATCAAAGCATACTTTGAAAGAATTGGTTATCAGAACTCCAGGAACAAACTGGACTTACAAACATTAACTGAAATCCTTCAGCACCAGATACAAGCTATTCCCTTTGAGAACTTGAACATCCATTGTGGGGAATCCATGGAGCTGAACTTAGAGACCATCTTTGATCAAATTGTGAGGAAGAAGAGGGGTGGGTGGTGTCTCCAGGTTAATCATCTCCTGTACTGGGCTCTGACCAAAATGGGTTTTGAAACCACAATGTTGGGAGGATATGTCTTTAACACTCCAGCTAATAAGTACAGCAGTGGTATGATTCACCTTCTAGTACAGGTGACCATCGGTGACAAGGACTACATTGTTGATGCTGGGTTTGGACGTTCCTACCAGATGTGGGAGCCTCTGGAATTAGCATCAGGGAAGGATCAACCTCAGGTGCCTGCCATTTTTCGCCTGACAGAAGAAAATGGAACCTGGTACTTGGACCAAATCAGAAGAGAGCAGTATGTCCCAAACCAAGAATTTGTTAACTCAGATCTCCTTGAGAAAAACAAATACAGAAAAATCTATTCTTTTACTCTTGAACCCCGCACTATTGAGGACTTTGAGTCCATGAATACCTACCTTCAGACATCGCCAGCATCTGTGTTTACAAGCAAATCATTTTGTTCCTTGCAAACCCCAGAAGGGGTTCACTGTTTGGTGGGTTCCACCCTCACTTATAGGAGATTCAGTTATAAGGACAATGTAGATCTTGTCGAATTTAAGAGTCTGGAGGAGGAAGAAATAGAAGACATACTGAAAACTATATTTGGTGTTTCTTTAGAGAGAAAACTTGTGCCCAGGCATGGTGATAAATTTTTTACTATTTAGAATAAGCAGCAGTACAAGTTTTCAGTGTCCCTCCATGTACTTGGACTTTTTATGATAAATTTTCAAGCAGATGTATAGTATATGTAATTGTATGAGCCTTTTTGCATTCATACCCTAGCTTACCAGTTACTGGTAACTAGTAATTTGTTGTATCCTCTCTACTCCTATATTTTAAATAGCAATAATTGCATCTTGGATAAACCTCATTGGCTATGATACTGCCACTGTGCAAAGCTCTACTCCTGTATTTTAATAAAAGAAAACTAGACATTTCATTCATAAAATATCAGCATTTCTGGTTATATGGCTTTTGAATGAAACATAGCTAGAAATCAGCCATTCAAAGAGTACTTTACTGATTACATGGACACACTGGTGACCATGCGATGTGTACAAGAAAACACCCAACACTGGCTTACTGCTAAATTCACATGGAATTTGTGGTAATAGTTGAATAAAAGAAATAGTGAGAAAAACATTCCCATTAAATTCAACCAGCATGAATCCAATATCTAATTTTTATGAGATATTATCTGTATAATTCAGGATTTGTATGTAGCAAAGAAGAATGAAAACTAATGTTGGTTCCCAATAACTATATAGTCTTCAGTATCTGACTTATCCCAACACCTAGGGAGATGTGATTAGGACCAAAGAGAACCAGTCACACAGCTAATGATTTCCTTCTGTGTTGTTTTTGTATCCAGTTCTTTTTATACTCTTCTTACTGTGGGAACAAACACCAGTATTTAGAAATGTGAGCTTCTGTATTTTAAAAATGTAAGTCTAAAATAATATAAATGATGAACTATCTATGTCAAACATTTCAAAGAGGTATATTAAAACACGTTGACTAATGTAGTGTGAATGAAAGGTTTTATATGGAGGAGTTAGGACATAACTTGGTGTCTTCTCCAGGGGAGTCTTCTGTTTATTTTACTCCTCAGTCATGCTGATTAATCTTTCCTGCTGATTTGACTAGATTTGTAATCACATAGAAGAATTCTAGGCATTCCTGGGAGTATTTTTTAGAGACATTTGACTGAAGAGGGAGGACCCAGCTGATGAAGGAATGTGGGTGGCACCATTCCCTTGTTTAGGTCCAGGACTGAATAAAATGGGGGAAGATGAGAAAGTGAGCTGGGCGATGTTTAATGAGTTGTTCTCTGACTATGACACAGCATGACCAGCTGCCTTGTGTTCTCACCTCTGCAGCTATCACTGAGCCCTCAAGCTATGGGCTCAAGTATATATGGGTGGTACTCGTTTGTTTGTGACAAGTCAGCCACAGATTTATGGGGGTGTGTGTGTGTGTGTGTGTGTGTGAGAGAGAGAGAGAGAGAGAGAGAGAGAGAGAGAGAGAGAGAGAGAGAGAATTCCAAGCCTACAGCAAATACTAAATAAATATCTGTTAGATGGATGCCTGAATAATGTCATTAAGTCAGTAATTTTGACAGTAAGGGAGCTTTTTTTAAAACTTAATTCTTTATTGATTCTTTGGGAATTTCATATCATGCACTAAATCCCACTCACCTCCCAGTCCTTCCATATGTTACCCCTGCAACACAGCACATGTCCCTCCAAAAGAACTCCCCCTCAAGTTAACTCAAAACAAAACAACAAAACCAACTAGCTTCTCTGTCTTTCCAACACCCCTTCATTCATCCTCGTGGCATCAGGAGCTGCGGTGTGTCACACAGTATACACTTTTATCCAATCAGTCCCAGCCAAAAAAATGTCCATTGCAATGAGTCATTGGTCTGGTTCAAGGCATCTGGCACACCATCATCACTGGACCCTCATCCAGGCCTGGACATCACCATGGCTTTGGGTGGTACACAAGAAGCCACCTCAGCCTGTTCTTCACTGCTGTCACCTCTTCAGATCTGCCTCTCTCCAAAGGAATTAAACCATTCTCTCTCTCTCTCTCTCTCTCTCTCTCTCTCTCTCTCTCTCTCTCTCTTTCTCTCTCTCTCTCTCTCTCCCATACCACACTCTACATTTGCTCACCACAAGTGTCTGACTACCCAGCAGTCACAAGGTGCCAGGCGGGCCTGTGTTTTCTACTCAGTGCCTGGGGCAGGCTGGCCCATTGGCACTGGCATATTTCTTAATCACAGGCAGTTCCCAGCTCTCAGGACATATCAATATGTCAGGACATGCTTCTGGATAATTTTGAGACTTCTGTATTTTGAATTTTTGAAAATGTGTATGTATGTGCATCTCTTTCTGTGAGTGTGCATATGTATCTGTGTGTATGTGTGTTTGGAGAGTTTTTAATGGAAGTTCTTCCATCTTGCTTTAGTGTACTCCACAAATGTCCCATCCTCTGTTTGGCATGATTTCCCTCTAGCTTGAAATCCTGCCCCACGATCACCCAGTGGCTTTATCCCTGATGGAAAATTGATAGCAGACCCAGAGACCTATGAGTATGACTAGCACATCAAGCTTGGAGTGTTGACTTTTCTATATCTTACATTTTCTGTTGTGTTTCCCAGTATCAGGGATAGAATATAAAATTCATACTTGTGAGAATGTTTTTCTCTCTTTGGCTATGATTATCAAGGAAATGTGATGTGAGAAGCAGTATTAGAATAGGGGAAAATTCTTTAAGGTAGCAGGTTTCCCCAGGGATAGTTCATGTAGTGATGGAGATACAGGGCAGTGTGCATGTCCTAGGCAGAGTGTGACAAGAGGCCTGACCTGAGTAAAAGTGGATAATGAAATAATGCTTCCATTGATGAGGCTTTACCGCTTCCCTTCTTTGGCTTTGTGCTGTGGATATCGCTCTGTATGCTGTGAATGTGTTGCTCTGATTGGTTGACAAATAAAAGGCTGATTGGCCAGTAACTGCCAGGCAGGAAGTATAGGTGGGATAAGCAGACAAGGAGAATTCTGGGAAGAGGAAGGCTGAGTCAGGAGACACTAGCCTGCCATCCAGGGAACAGCATGTAATGGCACACAGGTAAAGCCACGGAACACATGGTGACATAGATTAGCAGAAATGGACTGGATTTAAGTGTAAGAGCTAGTCAGTAGTTTGCCTGAGCTAATGTCCGAGCAGTTTTAATTACTATATGCCTCTGTGTGCTTACTTGGGTCTGGGCGGCTGTGGACCGGGCGGGACACAGAAAAACCTTCAACTACAGCTTTGTTTACCTCCACTGCTCTCATTGCCAGTGTCAAGTCTTTCTGGTACTTCTGAATGGAAGAGAATTCCACAAGTTGATTGAGATCACGCCATGGACACAACACACGGAACCAATCCAAATGTGGCCCATGGAGAACAATGAGGTTTTAGAACACTTTCAGTGAAGTTATCTGTACAGTGAGTGTCTTAAACCCCTGTCCAGTTGCTTTTCCTTAAAGCTTTCCACTATGTGGGGAAAGTAAAAATGTATCAAAAGATACAGATAGATACAAAATGTAGCCATCAGGAATTGAGTGCCGACTTCACACTGTTAGTTTCTATCAAATAAAATTCAAATGAATAAAGAAAGGAGAATCTCACCAAAATGTATAGTCAGAGATTTTAAGAGAGCCCTCCATTCTTTGTGGTTACCCAAACTGTTGTCTGTCCTTCTGGCAACCCCATAGAGCTTAGGATATGCCAACTTCTGTCATACCTTCTAGACTAATAAAGTAAAAGAAGTCTGACCCCATGTATATGTCCGGAACAGTTCTCAATAACGATGTGTACTTCAGTTTCTTCTGTCTTTAAGATGGAGCCAAATGAAGCCCATATCTTACTCTATACTATGCAGATAGAAGAACTGTGACAAATGCCAGTGTCCCTTTAGTATTATTAAAGGTTCACAACATTTTAATTCTTGAGAGGAAACCACAGGAAGTAGGTTCATTGTATATTTACATCTGCATTTTCTGAGGTCTAAGACCATTGAGGATGGAAACCCTGGTGCAGCCAAAGCAGTTCTATGAGTGATTTTTATAGTAACATGTCTACATTGAATGAGAAGAAAATATCAAACAAATAATCTAACACTATAGTCTCAGGTACTAGAAAAACAGAAACTATCTAACTTCAAAGTTAAATAGGAGCAGAGTGTAAAGATAAGAGCAAACAATCAGAATGCACAGTAACAGAGCAATAGAAAGGATCAGCAACAGAGTTGGAATTTGGAAAAGTTAGATGTACTGGAAAACTATTAACTAGATTACATAGAAATTAAAAAGTACTAAAACTGACGAGTAAGGGGGGGAGACTTTATTACTAACAACAACCACAAAGGTTTCTAATGATTATTGTGAACAATGAATGAGTCAACAAATTAGACAACTAAGGAAAAGATAAGGTTGTATAAACATAATGTACCAAGACTGAACCAAAAAGAAATAGAATATTTGAATAGACCAGTAATGAGAAAGGGCATTGAATCACTCATTAAAAGCCACTAACTGAAGAAAAACTCAGAACCGTAGCGCTTGATAGCTGAATCCTTTGAAGAAAAAACAATAAAAGTATTTCCAATCTCTTCCTGCAAACAGAAGAAGGAAGGAGGCACATTTCTAATCCTATGTCACGTGACCAAAGCCAGTTATGTCCCCAGAAACGAAAACTACAGTCCAGTATTCCTAATGACACAGATGCAAAACCCTCAAGGACACTGTTTCCAATAGCATATCAAAGTATCATTAACATGATATGTAGGATTTATCCTCTAGGTGAGAGAATGGCCCAACACACACAAATCAGTTAATGTGATTTGCCATACTAACAGTATACAAGCGATATAATCACTGCAAGAGATGTATAAGGAACTTCTGTTAAAATTTAACTTATTTTCCTCATTAAAAACCCTCAATGACTTTTGTTACAGAAAGAATGTTCCTCAAAAGAAGAAAAGTCACATATGACAAATTCACAGCTAACATTATAATCTAAGGTGAAAAGTTAACAGCCTCCTCTCTTAGATCAACAGTGAGACAAGCATGCTTACTCCCATTCTGTTCAACCTATTGTGGGACACTCTAGTCCCATAGGAATTGAGAAGGGTTCAAATGAGAATGCAGGAAGTGAAATCCTTTGTCTTTGCTAACTGTGATCATATATATGAAATCCTATTGTCTCCACCAAAGAGACTTCTTTTTCATTCTACACACACACACACACATACACACACACACACACACACACACACAATTATTTTTTGTTTTGTTTTGAGAAAGGGTCTCACAGTAGCCATGGCTGGCCTGGGACTTGATTTGAAGACAAGGCTGGCTTTGAACTCAGAAATCTGCCTTCTTCTGCCTCTCAAAAGCTGAGATTAAAGATGTGTATCATCATTCCCAGCTGAGACTCTTAGAAATAAACTCAGTAAATTTGTGTGATATTACAGTAATCTTTAAAAATCAATAGCTTCTCCAGTGCTTATTCAGGCATCATTAGAGAAGCTTCCTCCTGCAGCAGGTGGGAATGAATACAGAGACCAAAGCCAGACAACAGACAGAGAGAGACCTTGGAACATGCAGCTGTAAATGTGGTAACTCCATCAAATCCCCCACCTCAGAGTTCAGGGAAACCTACAGAAGAGGAGACAGAAAGAGTGTATGAGCTAAAGGAGATGAAGGACACCAGGAGAGCAAGTCCCTCTAAATCCACTGAGCCAAACTCACAGGAACTCACAGAGATTGAAGCAACAAGCGCAGGGCCCACATGGGTCAGCACCAGGTGCTTGGCATATATATTATAGTTTTCAGTTTAGTATTTTTATGGGACTCCTGAGTGTGTGAATGAGTGGTTTTCTGATTCTTGTGCCTTCTCTTGGGGCTTTTTTACTTCTATCAATTTGGCTTGTTAAAATTCGATGTAATGGTTTTTGTTTTAACTTATATTTTTTTTT